GGCTGACAAGAGGCAAGCTGGCCAGGTCAGCCACCACTTGGGGAAAGCTCCCAAGGATGAAGCCCAAAGCAGTCAAGCAGAGATGAAAGAGTTTCTTCCTGTCCTTTGACCACCTGGATCCAGCTGTGACTAAAGCCAGACCCCTGGAGCTTTTCCACTACACATGCCAATAAATTCCTTTTTGTTTGTTTGTTTAAACCAAGCTGGGCCGCTGCCATTTCCCAAAAATATCCCAACATAACCTACTGGTGCCAAATAGCTAAGATAATTCACTGAAATAAAATAAAAGCATGGCTGATTTTTGCAGGATTGTAAAGCAGCCAAATGTCATCATGTTGCTGCTGCACTGTGGTTTAAAGACACAGGGAGAGAGGCAAAGGAGTTAAGCCTGCAACACGCCATCTCTGTTTTCTCCTCTCAAGCCAATTTCAACATCAACCTCTACCTTGTGTTCTCTCCCTCCCCAACCTGCCCTCAGCTTTTCTTATTCTCTGGGTTCCTTCTCTCTAACCCACAGGTACACCCAAGTCTCCTCCACTTAAAACAATAAATAGAAAAAGAAAGACTGGACTTCAATGTGAAAAATCATCCATACACAACAATTAGGCAGAAAAAATAACAAAAGAATTTAAAGAAATGTTAATGATGACTGTCTCTGATGGTAGGATAACAGCTGATTTCAAAAACATATTTTTCTGGGGGCTGGGTTTGTGGCCCAGTGGTGGAGTGCTCACCTAGCACGTGCGAGGCCCTGGGTTCACACTCAACACCACATAAAAAATAAATAAATAAAATAAAGTTCAAAAAAATTGTTTTAAATATTTTTCTGTATGTACATTTTCCTGGTATTCCTTTTATAATACATACACGTTTTTAGATTTAGAAAGATTGCTACCGCCATCTTTCCCACCGCCATCTTTCCCACCCCTTACTGGCAACTTCATACAGTAAAACACAAGGCATCACCCTCCCCACTTCCTCCCTCACATCCACTGTGACTAAGTTGCTATTCACTCCACTCAGTTAAAACCACTGTCCCCCAGGAGACCAAGGTGGCTACCTTGCACCCAAACATTTCTCTTCCTCCTTCAGCCACTTGGCCTTTCTGGATTAACAGCCTTCATTCCCTTGGCTTAAGTTTGAACTGCAGTGTCAGCCTCGTAGGCTTCTTTCCTTTCCTTCCTCGTTAATTCAATAAACCTTACCACGTCCCCTCTCATGTGTCTTGAATGGACCACCTCTTCTCCTTTAGTTCACTCGCCTCCCACAGCCTCACCTCCCACAGCCTCACCTCCCACAGCCTCACCTCCAAGCCTCCTATGTCCACACCCCTTCTCCATGTCACTATCCCTCCTCTGGGAGTTACTGCCCTAAACCCAAACACTATCTCTAATGACCCCTGAAAGCATACAAAAATCAAGTTCCATTACTGACTTGACACCAGAGGCACTTCACCAGCTAGTCCCAGCCCACCAGCCTTGGCTCCCACCTCTGCCAAGCCTGTGTTACAGGCTCCAGGGGGAGCCAGCTGGGCAACTGTGCCCAGGAGACATTCTACTCACACACCCCGGGTCCTTCTGCACGCTTCTTGCTCTGCTCTGGGCTGCCGTGCCCTCGCCCTCCCCCTCCCCCTGTAAACCCCGGCTCATCTGTCAAGACCCACACCAACATTCATTCTGACTGTTTTCATAATCAGCCCTATCACACTATATTTTGGTCCCAGTAGACAGTGACCTACTAAAATGCAGCAGAATCATTTTACTTGTTATTGGATACTGGCTTCATGCCTACAGAAAGCAGGCAAATGAATAGGAAAAGGGAGAGAAGAAACTGCAGACCTCCTCTCAAAAACTGATGTTTTAATATAGACTAAGGGAGTAATTATAGTATTGCTGGCTTCAAAAAATAACTACAATTCTCCCAAAAGACTTTCGTGTGGTTCGTACAACATAGTAGTTGGCCAATTTGAGTTCCCCACTCTTGCAGCATCTATTATACTACTGGGGTCACTTCTTTGGATTTCAAATCAGCATATTTGGATTTTTTAAAATAAAAATTTAAATTTTTCATAATAAAAATGTCAAACTGTCTTAATTTCTTAGCTCCTCATTCATTCATGGCATCACCAAATAATGCTCTGGTTAAGATTTATAAATCTAAAGCTTCTTCTTTTAAAAATCTGTGTTTGAATATACCTTTTGTGTACAGAAAAGTAATACTATAGTATTCTTTAACCTTTTCCAATTATATCTATCGCATTTATTTTTTAAAGAATCATTGATTTAATAAAAACAACTTTTAGTTATAGGGCATTGAATGAAGTGTAATTACAGAAAATTTAAATCTGAAGATTTCAGAATTTTAAAGTAGTGAGGTGACATCTCACATCCTGAAGTAGTTAATCCTGTTGACAAAACCATCAGTAAATTCTTTAGGCATTTGCATTCCTCTAAAAGAAAGAGGATGCATAAAATCGCTCTCTTGTTAAAGAGAAATGATGGAACCTTCAACAACTTTTTACCAAACGTTAACCATGTTCAAAGTCTGATACTAACAACCCCAGAGCACAACACAATGGCAAGGCATTCCACCCCTCCAAGTCCCGAGGGAAAAGACAAGAAGGTGGACAACGGCAATGCAAGCCCCACCTGAGACATCACAGAGAGGGTCTGACATGCTGTGGCGGGTGGGAAGGGAAAGATTCTATACCCAGCAAGAAGGTTCCAGGAAATTCTTCTTGCAAAGAATAAGACGTCAGCCCTGAAGAACAGGCAGCATATTTACCAACAGAACTGGAAAAAAGAACATTTGAGGCTGCTAGAGTTTGGATGAGTGTCCCCCAAAGGCTGGCATATTAAAAGACAGTCCTAAGCTGGCGCTGTTGGGAGGTGGTGGGCCTATCAGGAGGCAGGGCCTACTGGGAGGTTTAAGGTCACTGGGTGAATGCCCAGTGGGATTGTGGAACCTCAATCATCCGCTCTTTTTCTCTTTTCTCTCTGCTCTGGCTTGAGATGTGAGCATTTTGCTCCAACATGGGCTTCCTGCCACTGTCATCCATGCCACAAAGTGATATAATCATAGGGTGGCCCTCACCAAGTGTTCTAGGCTATTCAAACTTTCAATCTCCAAAACTATAAGCTAAATAAACTTTTTTCTCTTTATAAAGTTAATTTCCTCAGGTATTTAGTTCCAGAAATGAGAAGCTGATGGATAAATGGAGGACAGCAAGAAACAGGGAAAGTAGATTGAAACATGAGTCTCTAGAGCGGTCTCCTTAAACAGTCCTGGGTTTTCTCATTCCCGACTGCCACCTCCTTCCACACCATGCAGTCAGCTAGCTTACAGCTACTCCCAAGGGATTCTGAGCTGAATCCAGTGGGCAACAGACATAATGGAACAGTTCTGAGCAGAGATCCTACAAATACAGAGCTTGAGGAAAATTAACGTGGCAACAGCATACAGAAATTGAAGGAGAGACCAAAACACCACAATAATAGGGATAAGGTAAATGTGCAGAATTTACTGTCACTGAATGTTTTGGAAATAGTCTCAGGCACTGCAATCAGGAGTTTGAAGCAATCTATTACTGCTTGTTTTATGCTTAAAGTCACATAAAAAATATTTAATTCCCAGAAAACTTTACAACCCTATCCTAATCTTCTCCAACTTCTTTGTAATAAAAAGTCTGACTCTATTTTAGTACTGGGCCACTGACAGCTTTCAAGCCCCATCGCTCTCCTTCCGTACCCCATCTGTGAAAGGCAATAGGAAACCTGTCAACAGGAAGGTCAGACCTTTGCCTCTGCATAAGAGCCCTCATCTGGTCCACTCCCCAACCACAATGAAAACCAAAGTCATGCACCTCTCCTTCTCCAGCTCAATGGCGCACTCTGGCTACCCACCCTGCTCTCCCCAGAAAGCCACATTATGTGAGTATTAAATCTTTCACACTCTCTTAATCTTGTGTGGCTCCATCAGTCTTGACATGCATCAATATGGGGTAGGAGGGCTGATCCCAACCTCCACAGAGTAACCACAAACACTATTTAACAGTAAATTCCCATGATGTCCATGTCTAGGTTATAGGTGAAAGGATATAGAGCAGGGCCATAACAGAAATCCTAAAAGGTTTCTATGCCCCCTAATTAATGTCCTGTGGACTAAAGATCAGCTCAATAATGACAATGTTGAATTGTGTGTTTGTCCATCTTCTGTGGCTATAACAAAATACCTGAGGCCAGGCATTTATATCTATAAAGTATGAAAGTTTATTAGGTTCACAGTGCTGGAGACCAGAAAGTTTAAGAGCATGGTGCCAGCATCCTCTTGGCTTTTGGCAAGAACTTTCTTGCTGCATCATCACATGCCAGAGGGCATCACATTGAGATGGAGCAAGTGTGCTAGCTTGAGTCTCTTCCTCTTCTTAAAAGCCACTAATTCCAGCCTGGGAGCCTGACTCTCACGACCTCATCTAACCCTAATTATCCCAAAGCCCCCACCCCAACATGTGAATCTGAGGATTAATTTTCTAACCCATAAACTTTCAGGAGACCCCCTATTCAAACCATAGTAAATAGTCACATAGATTCACTCAAATTTCTAGTTTTCAACTTTAAAGCCATTTAACATGCCTGGCCCCAGTCTGTCCTCCCAACTCTAAGACCCTGCAGAGTCATGAGAGCTCTGTGCTTAATTCTCCTATAACTGCTTACTTTCAACTAAAAGAAGCCTCTGCACAAGTTGGGATGGAAACACAATTAACATCCTCTTTTCTTAAGATTCTCAGTTTAAGTGCCAGGACAAAAAAGGCTAAATTCAGGAGTCACAAATAATAGCATTCTTCAAGCAGCACTTGTAACCAAGTGATAATCTTAATGTGTGATGGCACAGAAAGTATTTTCATGTCTTTTCAGCCATCCTACAGAAATCTAAAGGTCACAATCATGAAAAACAGCAGCTTCCGAAGAAAGAGAGCTTATGATATAATATTATGTACTTACACATCTTTAGCTGCTCCCGCAGGGCCTGGAGGGGGAAAAAAGACAGGTTGGTGTTGGTACAACAGTATAGCTACAAACATGTGAAGCCCAAGACCTAACTAGTAACACTCCAGAAGAGCTAAGAACATTTTTCAATCATTTCAAAAAGGAAAAGGGCAAGAGAAGTACAAAATTCAATTCTTAAGTTTAGAATTTATTCTGCCCATTTTTAACAATCCCTATACGTTACAAGGTGTGGGTTCCAAAGAGGAATGTACAGGTCACCTAACCCATTCTCCCACTTTATAAATAAGGAAGCAGACAGACCCTGAGGAACATTTTCTTTTTGAAGCCACACCTTGGAAGCTGGTGTGCACACTGCATTCTTGTAAGTCACGCTGTACAGTTATCACAAAGGGAAAGCAAAGTCACAAGAAGAAATGGAGGTGACAAACTCCATGGATCAGGGCATCTCAAGGACACCCATCTCACTCCAAAGGAGTCGCGTGCTTGTCTAACTCTGCTCCAGCTTGCTGCTAAACTCTCTCCTTTCTGCTTCCCACCCACGTGCCAAAAGCAGACCACCTCCTTAGGACGCCATTCCCATCACTCACCACAGACTCTCTGCTCCCCCCCAATACCTTTATCTGTAGGACACAGAACCTGATTCCAACACTTACCAGCCACGTGGCATCAAGCCTCCTTTACAACTCTCAAAACCTCAGTTCCCTCGAGTGGGTAAAAAGGTTATTCTCAAGATTATTGTGAAGATGTTAAAAGATAATGTGTATAAACAGCAAAGTCCGACACATAAAAATAGCACACCAAATTATCGTTAGCAATCACAATTAACTTTTCAATTTCCATATCTATGAAATGAAAACGAAAATACTTCAGCACAAGTCACAGAAAATTAGAAATAAAGATGTGCTACACAGTAAGTACACAAGAAAGCAGGAAAAGTTACTTCCAAACTTGCAAGAACTATACTTCAGTGACATTAAGGCTTGTAATACTAATAGCTGGTCATAAAGATAATCAAGACTGTCTCAAATGCATTCTTTTAAGGCTTTCACTAAACCTGAACTTTGCCACGAACACCCTTTTGTCTTTCCAGGAAGAGTAACATTTTTGTGAAACAATATCAGTAGAATGGAGGTTGGGAACTTTGTGCTTTGGTATCCGAGATCTTTTAAACCAAAATTATAAAATTAAAAAGAAAAACAACTGCCAACAGCAGAGTGTTTTGATAGAAAAATAATAAAGGATTAGTGCCACCATAAACCCATAAAAAATGAACATTTTATTTCAGAGTCCAAACAGGCAGAAAAAGTCTAGAAAGAAAATAACATCCTGTTCTTGTTTTTATTTCTACAGAAAGGAGTGAGAATATCTGGGAGGGGAGCAGCAGAGGGGTCAGAAACTTTGTGATTCCTCAAGTGGGTGATGAGGACGTGGGCCTGGAGTCCTGGGCACTGAATGCAGAGAGCCAGCACAATCCAGGGGGAGAGGAGCAGGCACGCGGGTCCCCACTGCAGCCGGGGAGGCAGCAGGGGTGGGGTGAGGACAGCACGGATTTGGAAGGCACACACCTGAGCAGGGTCTGAGACCTGCCTATCAGTCACTAAGTCATTCTGCTTCAGTGGCTGACGGGGACATGCAGCCTTCAGGAGCCTCCATCCACTTCACCTTGACTACCAAGGACACCACAGGTCCTCTCCCTGCTGGGCTCACCATTTAGAAACCCAGCGGGCCCAAGAGAGATGCATGGTGTCTCCTCCAAAACGAAGTCAAGGGATTGTACTTTCTGTTCTAAAATGTCCCTCGATCAAAAGGGCAGCATCTATTTAATAACAGCAGCAGTTATTAAACTGGGGCGAAGTCAGAAACACTCTATCAGTACACACAAAGGATTGTAAAGGGCACTCCATTTTCAAAAAGGGAAGAAATCTGCATCTTAGAAGCAAGGTAACATGGTGGTTAATGACAAGCTTACAGCCAGGCTAGAGAGACTATGACTCCCCGACATATAACTTCTCAGAGTTTAAAAAAAAAAATTCAATAGATGGAAACCCTTGCCAAACTATCAGAGCACCTAAGTATATAAAATGTGAAGTAATAAGTCAATTTGCCCTAAAATAGCATGAACTCAAAAAATGATTAGAAACAGAAAAATTATTACCTTTGCTGCAACATTTTAATCACATTTCATTTAATTATATAAATAATGAGATCAAGACTTCTACTTGAGATAATTTATGCAAAAATACTTTGACCAGAACTATTCATACAGTGACAAAATCCCATGTGGTTTAAAGTGTATTTGCAATTTATGTGATTTATCATTGATTAAGCAAATATTTACAGTGGTGCATCTACTTTCTGGACCCTGGGATGGATTGTTCATCCCTGTTAATACCACTTCATTTCCCACCAAACTAGCTCTTTACTGTTTAAACAGAGGCTTGCAGGGTCAACATCATGGATCTTAGAAGAAATAGAGATGCAGGGATGGTAACAATTTTTCTTGTAGAAAAATAAAATACCAAGACACACAAAGAATGAGAACTTTTTTAAGTCAAAAGATTTAATTACCAGATTCTAAAACTGTATAAAGATAATCATAATTTTAAGTGTCTTCTTTTAAAACAAATTAAGAGGGAGAAAGTCTACTTTCAGAAAAGTATAACATGCAGCTCCAGGACCAAAACCTAATTGCAGGGCTGGGGGCATAACTCAGAGTAGAGCGCTTGCCTAGCATGCTCGGGGCCCTGGGTTTGAGCCCTAGCACCCCCAAAAGAAAAGAACTGTAAATACATTGGATGTCTAAGGAATAACATTTCCTTCTGAAATTACCTATTTCTTTAAAACTTAAACATCATTGGTTGCTCACAATATCACTTCATTTCATTGTGATCATGTTTATTACCCTTTATACACTTTAAAAGACCTTATTATTTTATCCATGAGCCTCAAAGTCAAAAAAGTCTCAGTTACTTCAAAATACGTAGCAAACTCAATTTGCTCCAGCACTCAAAAAACTTAATCTGATATTGGAACGCCACAGAAGAGATTTGGTCTTTTCCCCCGGCTCTAGCAAAGAGCTCCCGAAACCCTTGGAGTTTCCTACCTGATAAAGGTTGACAAGGGTGACTCTTGCCAAGCCCCTAGATAGCCTCAGGATGGCAGCTGGACCCCAGAAAGACCAAGGCTTGATGAGAAGGTGGAACTCTGAGCCCCACTCCCAATCCTAGGGAGGAGAGGGGCCTGGAGAGAAGCTAACCCCGATGGCCGATGACTTCATCGATCGTGCCTATGTAAGGAAGCCTCCAGAAAAGCCTCCAAAAAAGGACCCACTTCAGTGAGCTGCCCAGCTGTGAGCACCTCCACTGGCCAGGAGGGGACCAAAGCGCCTGTGCTCAGACACTTCCAGGCCTCGCCCCGTGACCTGTTTATTTGTGTCCTTTGTGACAAAATGTGTAAAACACCTTCCTGAGTTCTGTAATCCACTCTGGCAAAGTACCAAACCTGAAGAGGGTGGCGTGGAACTCCCAAACTCGCAGCCACGCTGACAAAGTGTGGGTAACAGGAGGCCCCATACTTGTGAGTGGTGTTTGAAGTGAAGGCAGGCAGTCTAGTGGACAGTGCTTTGCCCTGGAGTCCGCCATGAACCCTGGGCAGTCAGCATCCGAGCCTAACTGCACTACAGGACACTCGGGGCGGGGGGGGGGGGACATCAGCTGGTGTCAGGAAGAAAGAAACTCTCATTTCTTCATGCTTCACATAAAAATGTAGGACCCTCACAGGAACTGACCAGCCTTGAAGTACACTGAGATTTAACCATGCTGTACTTCTGTCAGCAAGTATTCTTTACACTCCAGATCCAGAGTTTCTAACAATATTTTCCTCTCCACTAATTTTGTGCATTCCTGAACAACTGCAGAAAAGAACTTTCTGTATTAGTTTCCTGGGTTGCTATAACAAACCACCACAAACTGGGTGGCTTAAAACAGCAGGAATATAAGCCCTCACGCTTCCCAAGGCCAGGAGCAATAAATCCAGGAGTCAGCCAGAATGGACCTCCTCAGCCACAGTCCCCGGGAGAAACTAGGGCCTGCCTCTCCCTGCTGCTGGGGCAGTGGGCACTGCTGGGCACTCCTTGGCCAGCGGCTGCATGGTCTCTGCTCTCTCTCCATCTTTACAGCACCTCCTCCTCTCTGTGTCTGTCTTCTCTTCGGTCTCTTATGAGAACACTTGATTTAGGGCCCACCCAGATCACACAGTATCACCTTTTCATCTCAAAACACTCCACTTAATTACAATGGCAAAGACCCTCTATCCAAATAAGGTCACATTCACACATTCCAGGGATGAGGGCATGGACGTATCTTTACAGGGACCACTGTTCTATAGACTACTACTTCTTACCCTGTCATCCAGCTCCTTGAGAAAAAGAAATTCTATGGTGAAAAGAAACATGGCAAAATTAACATGGGAGGGGGACCAAATTTAACATGACATATCATACATCCCAAAACACAAAATGTATTCCCAGAAAATGATTTAAGCAAGCCAGCTGCATGGTTGGGTAATTTTAAGTAGAGCTACACATCATCTTGGTTCCAATGGGCAGATGTTCCTTTGAGATCTCATCAGTCCGCCTTGTAAGTTAAGAAGAGTGAGTCACACTGCCCAGAACGCCTTCAGTATCATCCACATTCGCGCACTCACTAATGGGAGAAGTTCCTCACACAAGCCAAATTCTAAGAAAAATACTTGCTTTTTTGGTGGTGCCTCACTCATGCTGGGCAAGCACTCTACCACTGACTACAACTCCAGTCCCTTACTTCTTTTAAAAGAAAACATGATTTTACATTTGAAAAAACAGACTACTACAGCAAACCTTTTTTGAAATATACTAGAAATGTTCACTGGAAAATAAATTGCTAAATTATATGTTGTGATATTTCATTCTTCAAACTCAGTGGTGATGACTCACACATACACATATACACAGGCAGACATGCACCAAAAATAATGTACATC